TTTAAAGAGCATTAATTGTTTTTATAGCAATATAAAAAATTATATTTTACTGTCATTTCAGAAATTACACGTAAGATTTTAAGCGATTTTTTATAAGCTAACGAGTTTAATATCAGTCCATAAATAAATTTATAAATAGAAAAAACTGGGTAGATTTCAACTGAAACAGGCAAGTAATAGAATAAATTAACATACAGAGAAAGACAGTTAACTTGTTTATGGTTAAATAAAAATAATTAATATATTAATAAATTAATTAAGTGTTTATATGTGAAAGTATAATAGATCACAAATGCCGGTGAAAATTGCAAGCTTGATTTGTTAACAAACTTGCCTTGTAAACCAGCACGTTAAGAAAGAATTTTTATTTGTTCTATAAAAATTAATTATAAATGAATAAAAAAAAACCACATAACATGCTTAGATTGATTTGAGTATTAAGCATTTTCTACTATTATTTCAGGCATGAAATGACGTATGCATTGTTTAATGAATTTATCTGGTTAGAAAAAACGAACATTATTTTCATATGTTGTTATTGGGGTAGACTTTAGAAGTTGAAAAACCCATTTCGTTGAATATCTTGGGTTTTTGCAGAAACCCAATCCCAATAACAACCTAACAAACCCAATAATTAACTGTGATTGTTGGATTAATGCAGATTAAAAGGATTGTTTTAGTGTTTTTTCAAGACGATAAAATAAGTGAAAAATTAGCTTATATGTTTTCCATTCTGTACAAATTTAATACTTCTATTTTATTAAACATAAATTATATATATAATACAAGCACGAGACCTCACCTTACTTATTTTAAAAATTATAATTTTTAATAATATGACAGTTATCATTATTATTTATTTATTATTAAGAGAGTAGACGTGAAAATTGCCCAACAGCCAGTACTGCGGCCAGAAGAGACCTATTGTACCAGTTTCACTATTCATTAAACAAAGCCCCTTAAAGCTTTGTGAATAAAGTCTAGAACTAAATCTAGAGAAGAGTTCTTAATCTGTTCTGGTGACAGAAATTCTTTATGAAACAGGTTTCTTCTGTGCGTTATTAAAGCTGACAGTTATGACAGTTATCATAATCACAAGTTATTATCATCAATAGTTCCTTTACAATAATATTATTTAATTACAACAAAAAAAAACTAATTAAAGCTTATAATATTGTTAAAAAATAAATAAATTTTATTTAAATAACAATTGTATTTATAAGACCTTTCAATTATGATACGCATTAGTAAAATGATCATTTTTCAAATATATATATATCATGTGTTAACCAATACAAATCAATAGAAGTAATTTTTTTAATTAAAATAAATTAAACTAACTAGAATAAATGTTAAAAATAAATAAGTAGATTCATACTACATCATTGAATTAATGGATCATCCGCCATACACAATCCTAATTTAGTACATAATCATTTCTTCTGGTATCCACACAACAAATACTAATTTTCGATTTTTGTCGCCAATATGCAAAAGTATATATATGCGTATATCATAAAGACCAATATTTTAAACAACAATAAAATAGTTTTTAATGATAAATTATGATTATTTTATTATTGAGCTCATAATATTTTTCGATCAACATATTTTATAATTGTGATCCAATAGAATAGATCACAATAGAATAGCGCACTTTTAAAGATTTATAGAATCTCCAATTATATAGAACGGAACTTAATTACAACTGCGCTGCATTTAAATTTACTTTCGTCACAGATTACTCACAAATTACTTAAAGTTTAGGGTCTCATATCATCTCTTAACCACATATCTAAAAGATCTAATACTACTTTACTCTGATGATAACCCTTATACAGTTGATATCTCATGAATCATTTTTAAGATTAGTAGAGTAGAACGAGTGTCCATATATGTATCTATGAGTTGTATATATTTTCAATTTTTTTTCATGTTCAATACATATTGTATTTATATCGATATGTATGTTAGATGAAGTGGATTAGTCAAAGATAAAGGAACGTTTAATAAGTGTACTTTAATTTGAACAGCTGTAAATAGCACTGATAAAATATATAACCACAGTTTAATTGCTTTTATGACTACTGGTGTTTTCTCTTTGTACCTCTATATAAAGCAATATGATTAAGAACTTAAAGGTGATTCAACAAAAACAAAAAAAAAGTTTAGTAAACAATGAGTAAATCACAAAATCTCATTAGTTTCATAAGTTGCAATTTTTTTAATTTTGCATGAAATTAATTTTGCTTAAATTTAAATAATTTTATTTCTTTCAAAATTTTTACAAAAAAGCAGAAACTTAAAAGGTTATAAAAATTAACTAAAAATTTAATTTTTATAAATAAACTTTATAGTTTCTATAATTTTTTGTACTGATTTATCTAGAACGATAAACACATTTAGTGTACCCTGTAGGGAACCGAATTACTCTAAGACTAGTTGTTCTGTAGTCCACACTAACGTCTCGTTTAATACAACCATATTCTAATTGCGAGTCAAATGCTTTGCTCTGAATTCTAAATTGCTCGGTTGTTAATCTGTTCGAAAAAGGTTTAGGGACTGTAATAACCTGAATTAAATTAAAAATATGAAGTGTAGTTATTTGAAATTTGCATTAGAAAAGGTACAGCAAGTAGTGAAGCTGATTGAAGTTTAGTAATGGGAAATCCCAAGCGAACTGTGTGGGGGCCACAAAGAGTTGTAAGCATTTTAAGGTTTTATTCTACGCAGATCAATAAAGCACAGTTTACCAAATTCAAATGAGATAGTCAACGCTCACAAAGCAATTATAATTTAAACGGACTAGTACTGGTATCGGACTGGTACCAAACTAAACGTTTTAAGCAATTACCACATATTTTCTAACAAGGAAGGTACTTACGTATTTTCAGATGCTTTCAATGCAAATTTTTGCAATATGCAAAATTTCTATTGCGGTTCAGGCTACATGGAATATTGCAAATTCAGATTCAACTGTAACATCATTGAATAAAATTACGAAATACCTACGCAAATGAATTCCAGTGAAATACATAATTAATTATAAGCAGCTGTGGAAAATGTTGTCAAGACTGGTAGCTATAATAAAAGATGCTTTCTGAATTTCTTTATGCTTCTACAGTTTAAAGGTTTCAATGAAAAACCGTGTTGTTATTATTCCTGCAAATACGGACCACCGTAGATAACTAGCCATGTTGCAAACTTACGTAGAAGAAATACTGATGTAATTCATTCCTATGTCAAGTGTAAAATTTCACATAGAACAGCAATATCTCAATTCAGAATAATATAAACAAAGGCGGTATTTATTTTGAAATGGTCAAATACATTTTAAAAACAAAAATCTTTAAAAACAAACATGAACAGCACAACACAGCACAACACAGCAGTGCATAAACAAGTGCAGAAGTTCAGTTCAGGTTGGCACAATTTGCATTTTGAGATACTCGTGGTAATTGCGTGGTGAAATTTATAATTTATTTTTCAGAATTTAAAAACAATATATTATTTTTTGTAGTTAATATATTGTGTATAAATATTTTTGTCAGCATTTTTTAAATTATTTTCACATATAAAATAAATAACTTTTACACATATTTTATTAGTAAAATTCATTTTAACTGAGATTTTTGTTTTTTGTTGGGAGCAATGGAAATACAATAAATTTTTCTTTTTAATTTTCATTTATCTATAAAGAGAGTAAAAATGCGATATTTATTAAATTCTAGAAAAGTCAAAAGATTGCAATTTTAATTATCTTATATAGGCTTTTACTTGAAAAC